TTTTAAGACAGGTTAGTGTCCTTTGTGGCTGGGGGGAATGCTGTTAGCCCTAATTCCAGAGCACTTAGTGAAAGTATCTGCATAAAAGAGCTAGTGACTTTAAACTGGGCTATGTTGCAATCTACCATTTGTTGCATAATTGATGTTATGTAAGTATTGATATTGGCTTGCTGTCTGTTAACTTCTAATTATTCTGTTTCTTCTCTTGGAGTTTGGGAGTTACTTGTCCTGAGTTACTAGCCTCTTTGCAAGCTATTTTGTGCTTTAATATTAAGTTTAAGAACCAATGTCACGTATAAGTGATACTTCATGTACCTGATGCTTTACATATGCTTCTCCCACATATTCAGATAGCCTAATTTGATTGCATGTGTCCTATATAATGCTGTAAACTCAGATGTCAGGAAGACTTGTTGTGTAGGCAGTTTTATTTGTGTAGCTAGCAGCTTTAAACTGGTTAAGTTAACACATTTCTTCTCTCTACTCTCTTGGGGCATTGTCTGGCCACAGAAATAAGAGCAAAGAGGAAGAAGTCTAATGGTTTGAAACTAGATAAAAACTTTGTAATTCTCAGAAAGCCCTGTGGGGGGAAAACTGAAGGCAGAAACTGTGCTTTAAAACATGTTGGTGACTTCCTGGATTTGAAACTTTTAGCTAGGGCTATTTTCAGGCATCTAGCTTTGATAGAAGCTGAAATGGACTCTGCTTTAGCTATATCAGGATATTGAAAAATGTGTAGGTGCTGATAACATGAGTGAAAACAGTTTCAGTATGTTTTGTTTAATATGCTCTTATTGTCCCCTGATTAAATCTTTAATATGGTGGTATAGTGGACCAGTCAATTCTTGCACATGGGATGTGAATTACCCCCTTGATGTACTATTGTGCTATCCCCTGCTGTGGCAGCTGTATTTTACTGTGACTAGCATTTCATCCATTAACTCGCATTCAGCTGGAGCTTGTCACATGTTTGGATGTATTTGCCCTCGCCATATGAAACGTTGCTTACAGCGTATGTTGAACAAGGAAAAAAAATGTTATGTAGCATTTTTGAACCCTTGCACACTTGAACTTTCTGACTCCACAGATATGGAAAACTTGGCTTCTGTTAGACTTCTTATGCTCCTGTTGTATGCATGACTGCCTCTTGTACTGATTAATATTTTCTGCTTTGAGTGTTTTTATCTGGCAGTTAATTGTGTATGATATTCAAGATCCATTTTTTCCGGTGCTTAGTAGATGTGCTGCTGAGAATTAGCCTAATAGTATCAGTTCTATTTATTGACTTTCAGGCCTTGTCGCTCTTAGCACTGCTAAGACTGGTCTATTGGGTGGGGTAAAAGAAAATACTGGTGCAATTTCTTTTAGTATTTGTCTTGTAATTGTGATTAATAACAGTTGTTTTCACTATCTGGAAACAGACAGGCTGGTTGTCTGCCTACAATCACACTGTGATAAATGGAGCTATTTTAACTCTGGTTTTGTGTATCAAAGAAAACAGATGTAGTCTGGGACTTGAGGCTATAGGAAATACAAAGCCTGCTTAAGTCAATCTTCATACACTCCTTGAGTGAAGAAGTGGTCATATATGACAGTTTGAGATATGTAAAGCTCTAAATTACTTTACATCTGGGGAAGTACTAACTGCAGGTAGGCACACAGCTACAATCTACAGTGAGAACTGAAATCATGATACTTTTAATTTTATGAAGAGTAACTTTAGAAAGACTTTGGATTCTATTTTAATTTCAATATCTCAATATCTCTTCTCCCTTCCCTCCAAATTACAAAATATTGTAACTTTTAGGCAAGACTTACTCACTAAAGGTAGCAATACTGTGATAAGATCCCCCCGATGACTTTTGAGACTTAAAACTTGTAAGAAGCATAACTTTTATTTGTTAATGGATTACATTAAAGATCACACCTTGCAATATGCAAGAACAACAACATTCCAGCAAAGAAATTGCAGAAGTGTATCAATACCAGCCTTGTACAGCAAGCATCTCATAGACACAAGAAGCTGTAGCAAAGCCAGACATACACATCTGTGTAATGAATTTATCCTTTCAATGTAACAATTACTTGTATTTTGGGGTAGAGTATCTGGCTTTTTTGTTTTTATAAATCTGGATATCATTTCTATGGTACGGCAACTTAAATTACTTTGTCCTTTTAATCAAATTGTCTTTTCTTTTTGAAGTCTTTCTCACTCTTGACTTTCAAATATTTAAATCTAATTGGTAGGTGTCAGGAATGGTTTTCCTATTTCAGTGTTAGCATTTAACACTTGATGATGTTTCTGGATTATGTAATGAACTGAATTTACATTTAGGAAGAATCTGAGGCATATGTGTTGCTATAAAAATACACCCAAAATACGTAGCTGATCAGATAGGCACTTCTTACGCAGGGGGAATTCAGCCATTCTCCAGTGCATCAGAAAGTGATCCTTACAGAGGAGGTTATCAGATTATTTTTTTAGGATCCTGACCGTCTTGTCTAAATGTGGTACGTCTGTTTCCCACTAATTTTTTTGTGAACAAACTGCTGAAAAGCTTCTTAGTGGTTTTAAATTAGTTTTTAATGTGTGACTTAAGGGGTTTCTTATGCCTTCTTTGTCCTTTTTAACTAATGCTGTGACGTGATTTGTGACTTAATAAAAGTTTTGGAAAGGTATTCAGGAATTAGATATCCTAGTTGTAGCATTCCTTGACTTCATTTCCTACATGAGATTTTAGTCTTGATTATAGTTTTCACCTTGCCTTGATTATGTCCTACACTTAGAAAGGGATAGTGCACATCTTAACACAGCTTTGATCCTTCTGCTTTTCTGGCCAGTGAGTATCTGTAGATTTGAGTGTCATGTAAGTAAGGGTTGCTATAGCCACAGTTACCTTCTAGAAACTTGTCATTTCTAATGCTGCTTTTTAAATGCTAATTTCTTCTAGATACAAGTTTAAGTTTAGGTAAATAATTCTTCTAACCATTTAGGGCAAGCCCTAAAACCATACATGTGATATGTCACATCTTGCATTCTTGAATTCCTGTTTCATAAAATATATGCTTTTTTGTGTACGTAAAATAACATGTGCTGAGGAAGTATCAGTAGGTACAACTGGTGTATAAATACAACTATAACCCCTTTGGGGTACAGCATCAGAAGGGAGCTGGCTGGGTTTGGGCCTGATCCCTTCTGTATTACCAAGCTAAGCACCCATGTAAAACTAAGGAACAGTGTAAAAATTAATGATAGGGAATGTTTCCCTTGCAGGGAATGTTCTAACTAAAACTGATTACTTAAGGAAACAATTATTAGCTTGTGGGTTTGAGGAAAATACCCCCATTTAGCTGCTTAACATAATAGAACTAATTTTCTTCCCCTTTTTAGGCAGATTGACTAGAATAAAGATTAATGTAGCCCAGGTTCCACAGGTTTAGGTATAGTATCAATTTCCTGGCAGTTTATGTAGGAAAACAAACAAACAAAAAAACCACCACCAAAAAAACCCCAACCCACAAAAACCCATGACAAACCCTTAAAAAGCCAAAGCAAAACCCTTAAAGAAACCAAAAGCAAAAAACCCCAACAAACCCCCAAAACCCCACACCTTATTTGTGTTCAGTTGCATGTTTGACATTGCAATTCGTTGCAATTCTTTGGCATCATTAAGAGGCTGTGGCTTAAGCTATACACTGCAGTAATTAACCCACACAAACTACAAAATCTGGAATTATAAAATTCCCTTATGGGGGGAGTTGAACACATTTTCTCCTCTAAACAGGAAAAATACCTTACTACCTTTAAGTTAAACACTAGAGGCTGATCACACTTTCATCTTAAAAACTAGAGCTTGCACTACTGATTAGAATGAGTTTAGACTGTGACATTTGTCAGACACGGAGTAACCTTATGTGAGATAATGTAACAACACAGTTGTATTTTCCTCCTTGGTCTGTTGAAAGTCTTAATAGAATAGTCATCTTCAGTGCATTTTCCACCAAATAAATGCAAAGGACTTTCTGATTAATCAACACATAACTTGAAAGTACTTAAGTTGTTTAGATGTCAAGTGAAAATGTACAAGATGTTATGGTGATGGTAAGTGTTAATTATGTAGTAGACTTCAGGTACACCGGTCCAATATACTCCAGCACTACCACAGTATTAGATTAGTGCACGGATCTTTCTCAGTATTGCAGAATTCTCTCTGGAAGAGTAATAACCTGTTAAGCAATTTTTAAGAAGAGAGAGATGTTTTCCATAGAGATAACCAGCTTCAGGAAGAGCATGCAACAGCTGGAAGAGCCCCATCCTTCTTATGACCCGTTACTGCTTCTCCTTTTGCAGAGCTATTGTTCTGCAATAACTGCCTCTTCAGGTTGAAAGGGCTGGAGCAGAGGAAGTCTAGGGTCATGTGCAGTGCCACTAGAGCCTATTTCCCCTGGGACCGCACACTGTTACAAATCTGTTCTGCGTGGGTGTAGGGTTATTCCTGGGATCCATCAGCTGCACTAAAACTTTCCTTACAAGACTGTTCATGTGTGCCCAAGTACTTCATATTCCAAAAATGAGAAAACCAATTGCTTCCTGCTGTTTGCTAGCACCATCCTTAGCAGCCAGATTTTTTTGCAGCCATCTGGATGCATTTTCAAAGATGAGCAAGTGTAGCTTTTATGAGCTAGGAGAGCTGTACTCCCATTTTGTCTTCTTTGTGGCCAGCAGGTATGTGCTGTCCATCTAATGCACTTCTCTCTGAAAAACCATGCACATGGGAAACTGTTGTCACTTTTGGCAGCAAATGTAATGTCAGTGCATGTTTGCTTGGTTGGTTTTTTCAAAGGGTGGGTTCTACAGGAGCAGCATAGAGTATGGTTGCACTTCACCAAAGTGTATTTTATTCCCTAACAGATTAAAAGGGCACTGGAAGCATGAACAACAACTCTAATGAAAGCAGCTAAGGTCTGGACCAGCATGTATCAGAACTGGGAAAAAGTTACTTATCCAGCTCACATGTTTTTCATTCATACATGGACTATAATGATGAGAACTTGAAAATACTGCAAAAATTGGTGTTGGACTGTCTTTGAGTTGCTACTGAACAAGCTGCTTGACTTTCAGAAGTACTTTGTGTGAAGTAGGCTCTGTCATGCTAGGGTGTTTGTACTCTATGTAATAGGTTGGCCCTCACATTGAAGACTTCTGCTTCCTAGCAGTGAATGTTTTAAGGGATTAGACTGCTCAGCACACCTCAGGAACAGGACACTTGCCACTTGTAAAACTTAAACTAATTCTGTCACGCTTCATCTTGGATAATTAAGATGCAAGATTAGGTGTCTTCAGAGGAAGAAGGTGCAAGAAGGAAGGGCTGTATTTGTTTCCAGTTGGAGTAACAAGGATTGTGTGTGTAATGGTGTGTATAGCTGAGTTTACTAGTAGTGACTTGTTAAGCTACTACAAATTGATTGTATAATGTTATGCTGATTTGAGAACCTTTATTAATAATGTTATGATGTAGTATATAAAATCAGGTGAATTTGATCTCAGTTAATTGAGAAAAGTATATTGGGCTGAGAGCCTGTAAGTGGTAGAAGCCTGGATAAAATCTGGTGCTGTGCACTGTCTCATGTCAGTTCTATATAAATGGCATCATCTAGGCCTAAAACTAAAAGGTCTACTTTCTCTAGGCTAGAAACAGAAAGGTGGTTTTCTCTAGTCCATGGTAAGACCAGGCTTAACAGAGACCTTTTTTTGTTGGGGAAGTTAAGGCTTCCTTGAGCCCAAAGCTGTTCTTTGGCTAGGCTTAGAGTGGAGTTAAGCAACTTTGTCACCTGGAATTATATTTACGTTCATGGTAACATCTTTTACTATTATGTCATTTTCTTCTTCCTTTTCTCTTCTCATCCTTGAAACTAATTGAATCCTCCTGTGGAGGAGGAACAGAATACTTACAGGGCAGCACTAACCTGAAACAAATACAAACATTGCTTTTCTAAGTTGTGCTCTCATCTGCACAGAGCCTTTCCTTCACTTGGTCTATTTTCCATTTAATCAGATGGACCAGCTTAGAAATCTAAGAGCAAGATTGCTTCAATGCTTTTTAACTCTAATATGAAAACTTGAGTGGCTGAAAAATCCATATATATCTTATTGATATGAACAGTAGGAGCTGGGGCTCAACCTGCTGTTATCAAGGGGTTAAAATCTTTTCATTGAACATGTTTGTGAAGGACTGCTGGTAACTGTAGTACAGCTTTTTTCTTTCCAGTTCACTAATCAAATGTATGTTAGATTTATTATTGCAAAAGTATAAACCATAGAAAATTTGACAAGATAGATGTGTAAATTATCACTTTGACAGAACTAATGATGCACTCCAAGCACCTTCTGTTTTCCAGCACTTGGTGAGCGACTTCATTAAATATGCAATGACTGTTTGGTGCTGCTCAGACAGTAGTTCAGTTCCTTGTGGAATTGCATTATTACTGGAGGTGTAAAAGAGGCAGGCATGCTAGCTGTTGGGCATCCTGCTGTGATTCTAATGTGCTCCATCTTGTTGGAGCAGTTGTTTGCAGTCTTTTCAGGACAATTACATCCATAACCACAGGACACATTCACTGAAACTATATTACAGATAACAGTTGAGAATGGTAATGACTGTTCTTCAGCTGCTTGTGTAAGAGCCAGTGTAAGTGACTTGAGGTGATGGTCAAGCCACATCCATGATTCCTTTTTTGTAGTAGTAGTATTAAAGTAGCCCCAGATAAAATTCAACTACACCAACTTGCTCAGTCAGATTGTAGTGATGGTATATTTACAGATGGGGATTTTTTTCTTGAGCTGGGCTGCAAAATGCAACCACAGTTCCTACCACATGACAAATTCTTTTGTCCTTCAGTTATGATCTGTGCTTTTGACATGCATGCTGCTAATAGTTGTTTTCTAGCAAACTGCAAATTTCATTCTTTCTCACATTATTTGCTTTTTCAGTTGGCATTGTGACTAGCTCATATTCCTTAAGGTATAAGCAAATATACTCTGTTCTCCTGAGGTGTCCCTGTAATTTATTATTCTGATGACAGTTTGATGGTTACCCTGAGAACAGGGCACAAAAGATACCTTGAATTTAGCTTCAGATACTCTTAAAGCATCTGTCTCTCAAACCTTTACTATATCGCATCATACTGACAAATAGATTGTGTTTCAGGCTGACAAGTTAAATGCTATAGTGTGTTTAATGAAAAAATGTCCTTTATTTTGAATGGTCTGTTAAATCAGAGTTGATGACTTGGTTAATTAGTATGTGAACACTTGGCCATTTAACAGGACTATTGTAAGACTAGTGAAATGAGTTCTTAAATGGCTGGTGTTTCAGCTTTGCTTTGTATTTGGTATATGTTGTGAATATCCATTTTTACATGGGAAACTCTTGTGTAATGGTATGAGCAATTACCAGCCCATGTAAATGGTTTTGAATGAAATAAGGTATTTTGCTGATTTAAAACTAGGGTTTAAGCCTTCTCCTTAGAAAACAATTTTTTGCTATTTAAACCAATACTGGTTTTAAGTTTGCTTGATTATTGAGTTATGTTTTCACTTTAAAGCAATCAAAAGGTGTGGGATTCTGCTTTTTAGTAGTCTCCTGTTCAGCTTCCTACTAAAATGAGTTTGGTGGCTTTTTAAAACTTACTACCAATTCCCTATTTTAATAGAACATGTGATTTCAGCCTAAGCTTCATCTAAATTTCATAGTTTCTGAAGAAAGTAGACAGTGTGGAACACAGTCTTCCTCTGGGAGTATGCTGAGCTTAATGAGCTTGATAGTCTGGTGGGCTCAATAAATCAAATAAAGCAAAACATTTCTCATTTCTTGAATAAAAGCATTTATCACACAGTGTTTATTCATTCATGGTCACAAGATTGATTGGCTCCTAGAATCCTGCCATATATTGAAACACTTTGTTTTTGTTTTTCCAGTAGGCAAATTGCGGAAGCGCTGGATGAAGGAGAGCATCTCTGATGTTGGCCTGGGAATGCTGAGATCTGTTAAAGAATACGTGGACCCCAATAACATCTTTGGAAACAAAAATCTTTTATAAAGCCCTGCACAACATGATGTACTAAAACTTATTCAAAATTACTGTTGAAATTCCTCCACTTTCATTGTATTGATATCCCAGTAATCAAATATAACATAGACTAAACTTTAAAAACTAGTAACTTACTTTGATTTTTGCCACCCCCTCCCCCCCCCAATAAAGTGTAAACATCGCTGTTAATGTTTATGGATTTTTACTTACAATGCCGTTAAACTCTTAAACAACCCACTGGGCACAAAGTGTGTTACCAACCAGGAAATGCAAACTTGGTTTTCCAAGTTTGGTTAGGCAACACAGCTGATGGTATTTTCCATGCTGGATACTGCCAGATGTTTCTTACTAAAGCACCCCCTGCAAGGAGAACAAAGACTGACAACAGTGTTTTCTACAGAAGCAGCTGCTCAACCCAGCCTCTTGCTAAAGGAAAGCTGCTAGGAGACAGATGAGAGAACACCAAGGAGTACTTCACTGTGCTGAAGGATTAAGTATGTAACAGACTTGTAGCTAGCGAATACTTAAAGTACAAATGTAGGCTTTGATCAAAAGAGACAATGGAAGTCAAGCTACTTCTAAAAACTCAATTATCTCCCACTGTATTACTATTGGAAAATCTTACACAATTGAGCTGTTCTGAGTTGTATTTGCATTGCTGGGATAATCTTAAATTAATCATAGGTCAGTCCCTATAAGTTTTGTACAATGGACATTTCTCACTGTATGTTGAAAACAGGTTTGTAACAAAACTTTGCCTTCATCTGTACTTCAGTCCTAGTGTGTATGGTTTTTGCTCCTGTTTTGTTTGTTTTGCAGAGATGCAAAGTATCTTTTTCAGTAAAAAAAAAGTTTTGGCTATTCAAGTGAAACTGCCCAGTGCTGTCTTTTGAAACAGTCTCAACAGTTTAATAAAAACACTTAAGTGAACAACTTACTGTCATCCTGAAAGTGAGATTTCCCATTTTAGTTTTGTACAGTTTCCTATGGCCTTTATGAATCATTTATTTACTTCACTAGTAGCCACAATTTTAGTTGTCCATTTAACTTTTAAGAAAATGAAATATTTTCTTGATCATATGAGAGTAAGCATTTTTACATTGAAACTTGAATCTTAATCAGTAAAACAAACTAAAAGTATTTGTCAATATTCATGATCCATTTTTAAGGTGGGTTCTTTTCTTAAAGCAAATTATCCAACTTTTTGATAATTAATATATGTGATTGCATAGGATAGAAAAAAATACAGACTATCCTTTGAGGACACTGTCTCTCTAGCTAACTGCTTCACAGCTCTGTAGTGTCAGTTTGGACACCTTTTGTATTGGTAGTGCCCTTAATGAGGAGAAAAAGATAAAATTGCATTTTTGTTTTTAAACTATTTTAGAATACTGTCTAATTAGCTCTCAATTTTGGTAATATACCAAAAAGTATAAAATGCTTGAAAAATACTGCATATCAGACAACTTTGAACTTGTTTAAAGATTAATTTCAATAGTATAATTAAAATGATCAAAAAACATGAACACTCAAAACATCACTTTAAAATGCATGCTGTCAAGGTACTTAAGGAAAACTTTTTATGATCTGCCAGTTATAAAACAGAATATTAATGTGATATTTGCAGTGCAGCTAGATTTATTTCGAATGGTCTTTGTTTCACAACATTTCAACATAAAAATTTACTCTCTTGTATTTTTGTTTTTGGCCCCCAGAGTTCAAATTTCAGCAGCAACCAAAATAATAGGTGTAGTCTGTTTTAGGAAAGTCACTCTTTGCACTGTGGTTAAGTGTTCCTTAAGTACACAATGGTGTCTCAGCAAAGTGAATCTGTACATGTTTACGCAGGGGACTTCCTCATCTCTAATGCTGCATGATGGTGCCCACATGACCACAGCTGGCATCTTGCTTGTTTCACTCTGAAATAGAGACCTTTCTAGGAGTTGGTAAAAATGAAGGGTGAATATGAAGGGTGTTTATGTGCCTCAATGAAATATCTAACTATGAAGAATCAATTTTGAAGGAAAATGTGTGAAGCCTTTTTGCAGAATGACAGCACAAACAGAACTAAAACAAGTAGTCATAGCTCAGTAATACTGGTCTCTTAAGATTTTGACTTAAAGTACTACACAGCTCTACAACATCCTTCCCAATTTTAGTTTTCTGACTATGGTTTCCCCATCCCTTTTTTTGTATTGAAATTACACTGGCAAAACATCCTTATACTCTCTATTTCTAACCTTTAAATAGCCACTGGCTTCTGAAGTGATTTAAAATGCAGTAAAGTTTTTTTACTGCGTGTCAATTGTCCTGTGGGAAGGTGAAATAACAGGCTGTAAGGGTCCCAAAGCAATGTCCCTGGATAGCTCTGGGGAAAAGATTAACTACAAATGCAATGGATATTTTTTCTAATGGCCACCCTATTGCTGTCTTCCTAAATATTTTTCTATCTTATGAACTGGTCAGAGCTTAGTGAAACTGAAGTTGAAATGCATGTATTACTGACTGTCTTTAACTTCACATTTAAATTCCTAATGAAAATAGAGAAAAGTGTAATGCAAGTTCAGGAGACCTAGATACACACGGATTGTTACCCATTTAAAAGAAATCTTCCCTTCTCTAATACTAAAGTCTTCTACCACTCTTCCTTCTGTATTCTCTACTTTCTTTCTACTTCCCATAGCTGCAGCCTGTTCAGAGATGGAGTTTGATACATGCGGATTAGAAGTGTATCTTGGCATAACACATTACTTTTTCATTTGCTTGACTATTTTTACCATATATAAGTTACAAGCAGTTTTAATTAATCTTGTTATGACTTCCAATTACACTGCTTCTTCTCTCTTTGAGTGAGGAAAGGTGCAGAGTGAGTATGGCTTGACTGCGAAATGCATTTACATTAGAGACTTTTATAGAAGTTTTGAGGGGAAAGAAGAAAATCTGTTAGAAATTGATTCAGAGTATAAATCTTACAGTTAAAGAAAAACATCTCCTCTTGACTTGACTTACAGTATATTGGTTGAGTTCGAGATGTCATCTTTGCCTTACAGCTGTGAACAGAGGCCAGGCCAAATAGTTCTTCCGTAGCAATGTTAATTATCTGAAACCAATTTCAAAGGCAGGGATACGTTAGCACTGAAATCCAGAAAACACAAATTGCTTCTCAATCTTGGAAATGTATGTTTATCAAGGTTGTAATTTAACTTTCTGCAAATAAAGCCAAACAGTGTTTGTCATTTTAGTGTGAGATTAACTGTAAAACTTCAGTTGTAATGTTAAGAGATAATAGAACCTTATATTATTAATAAAAAGAAAATGGGCCTAAACAATTACGTGTTTTTGTGCTGAAACTAGAGAAATATATTTTACTAACTTTTCATCTTTGGTTCGTTTTAATTTGGCTGTGAACTCTTACCTAAGGAAAACTATTAGGAAGGCTTTGGTCTTGCAGAAAGAAATGAGGTTGAATTTGTAAATGTATGCTAATATAAAGGAAGGACAAAACAACACCTGAATAACAGTTTACTCGGTTCAGAAATTTCACCACCTCAGTATTCCCTGTTTGGGCAGCAAGGGTACCACGTTCAACTGCTCTTGGGAAGTTCTCTCAACATAATGCAGGAGCATACCTTGTCTTAGCTCCCCGATATTTCAAAGACCTGTTGTATTAAGCTATTGCAACAGGTATGTAGTTTCCTGCTGTTGCACACATGTCTCATTTAAAACCTCCTTGGTACAGGTCCTGGAATCTACTTGAAAGTTCTGTGTGCAAGAATGCACCGCATGTGAGCAGAAGAGGTATTTCTCGGTTAGCTGCATTATTGCTATAAAGCCTTTATGCCCTTTAAGCTAAAATGACTGAAATTACATCCTGCTTGAAAGAGCTGTTGAATTGTCTTACGTTGATGCAGTGTCTTCAATGAGTATTATTCAAAAACTGCAAAAGTCATAGTGTGCAGGGGACAGGAGAAGTAATGACATGGTTTAATTTGTAGAACTATAACCATTTTTCAATATTATCCAAATTTTTTTGCGTGCTTGTTCACAGGAAGGAGAAAACTACTTGACAGCCAAGCATTTTATTTGTGTTGCCCTTTTCTTAACAGCATAAAAATGCAGTATTTGTACTTAGATCTAGATTTGTGTTGCCCTTTTCTTAATAGCGTAAAAATGCAGTATTTGTACTTAGATCTAGACAGTCTCAATTTGAAGGAGGTCTTAGATGATGATATACTTATCTCAGGATGACAACCAGATCCCATCAGTGTTCCCTTTGTTTAAAATAAGTAAGTTTTTATAAAAAGTTGGACCTGAACTCACAGCTGTGTAAATACTATAGGCTCGCTGTTTATGGTTTTGTAGTCCCCACACTGACTCTGAATTCCACATTACATTTAACATAAGTTGATGTCTTTC